GGCGCCGCCGCCGCTCTGGGCGATTTTCGCGTGTCTTTATTATTAGGCGCGAAGTATTCGTGCACAGCCGAGGGACTCGCTGTTACACATTCGCAGGTGCACACGACACGGCGTGTCCCTGCATCTCCCAGGACCCCTCTCTGGCCCTTTCCGCTGCTCTCCCTCATTTCCGTGAGAACCCTCCCCTACCTCGTCCGCGCGAGAGGGGACACTGCGACCCCCGACCTTCGGAGGCTGCTTTTTCTGCTCAGCCTCCTGTTCTCCAGTTCCATGCATTTTCCCTCCGATGACCCGATGTCATTTTATGGTTGCACCAAGCCTGAGTGTACGCTCCTTTCTCCCGTCCCTCCACTGAGGGACACCTCGGCTGCTCTACGGCCTTTTTTTTTGGGGGGGGGGACACTGAGGATTGAACCCCGGGTGCATCACCTCAGAGCCGCATCCGTAGCCCTTGTTCACTTCATGCTCTGACAGCCCTTGCCGCTCGGCCACTATGACTTATTTTTAAAGGACAAGCTATTTTCTCTTCCTCTGTCCCCTCCCTAGTCTCAGGGGAAACAGGGTTGCCTTTCTTTCCAGTTTTAGGCGGATTTATCTGTCCTTGAGCACACACCCATCCTGGGAACTGAGTAACCCAGACTCCGGAGGTCTCTGGGATGACTGTCCCCCAAATTGACAAGTGGTGCCAGCTGCCATGGGAGTCGCCTCTGTAGAAGCCCCTGTTCCTGCCCGTGGGCAGTCACAGCCTCCGGGACAGGAGTTCCTGTGTTTCTCCTTTGTAGCAAAGCTAGAAATATTTTTCCTCGGAACCATGTATTTCTTACTAGTTTGGCCTTGAGGGCCAGGATTGAGCTTTCGGTAACCCATTCACCCTTTTTGGTTTCTTCACTTTTGTTTTGTTGGTTCTGGGGCTTGATCCCAGGGGTGCTGCACCACACAGCTGCATCCACCCTTTTTATCTGTATCTTGAGCTGGCCTTGCTAGGCTGCCCTTGGCCTTCACCTCGCATCCCCTGGCCAGGCCCCAGTGGCCCCGTGGTGTCCAGGGTAGAAGGGGTGTCCCTTCTGGTTGGCTTCCTGGACAGCTCCCCGCTCCAGTTCCCGCCCTGGTGGCAGCACTTCCTCCCTGTCTGGGCTCCTCCAGCAGCTTGATTTCCTCTGTTGGTGGAGCCTCCAACAACCATTGGAGGCTACTCTGGAACCCAGCCAGCCCCTAGGAGGGGACAGCTGCTACCTGGGCAGCCAGTGACAGCTGGGCAGGTGTGAAAGATGAGGCCACCAGCCCAGAGACCCACTGGCAGTGGCCCTGGGCACCATGCAGCCCTGCAGTTGTTGGAGCTCTGGTCTCAGTGTCCTGGAGGGGCCATGTGACAGTGTCAACTCTGATAGCTAGTCATAGGGGTAGGCACAGTGCTTGGGGTAGGATCAGAGCACGCACCTCTTCAAACCCCTCCGGGATTTTTATTTTTGTTTGGTTTTAAATAAGGCCCTTGAGAAAAGACCACCAGGGACCTGTGTAATCCAACCCAGATCACACTCTTCTAGGTCATTGAGGTTTGCTCATAATCTCATTGGAAAGCTAAATTCTCTACCCCAGAGGCAGTCCCACCCACCATTTTCAAGCAGTCACTGTACGGGGAAGTTGGATCTTGAAATGGGTGTGGGCAAGAACATCCCTTCTACATGTGATAGTCTCTCAGGTATTAATCTGCATGAGTCTCCCCAGTAAAATTCCCGGTTCCCTTTGTTCAGAGAGACTCTGCTTAGGGAAATATCCCCAGCACTCTCTTTGCTGCGATTAATAAATCTTCACTCCTTTATCGCCTAGTTGTTTGCATTCACCAAGGGACGGACTCACTTCAGCTATGGAGGTACTGCTGCCTTGGGGGCTCTGGCTCTGATCCTGGCTTTGCTGCTGACCCTGCAGCTTTTGGCAGTCAACCTCCTCAGGCTCTGTTCTCTGCTCTTTAAGACCAAAGGAAAATCATGTGAAGGCCTCTGTAGCTGCTTCTTAAGCCAAACTAGGTATTCTTACTTTTGACCAGCAGCCTCTGGCTCTTTGGGAGCTTTCTAAAGTCCCTTCCCCTGCTGTGATTTCCCTCACTGGGCCTCAGCACAGTCCCCATCCAGTCCAGGCTACAGCTGATGTGGTCTGAGGAGCCTCAGCTTCAGCAGGGCAGGACCACCCACCCCCATGCCATTTGTGCTGGTGTAACAGGGATTCACTTGATGTTTTGAAACTTATATGTTGTTGTTTTTTTTTTTCTTTTTTCCTGATATTCTTTTCCCTAAACTCCCTGATCTTCTCCTCCCTGATCTCTCCTCCCTAATCTCATTTGCTCTGAATCACCTCTATAAAAGCCCCCCTGTTCCTGCTGATGGGCAGAATCACAGCCTCTGGGACAGGAGTCCTCTGTGTCTCCTTTGCTAGCAAAGCAATCAACCTTCCTTTTCCTTTTTCTCAAGACTTTGTCTTTGTTACTGGATTGGCGTTGAGGATGAGGACCAGGCTTTCAGTTACCCTGGCAGTTGGGTCTCAGTGGTGCAAGGACTGAGAGGTGCTTCAACTTGCCAGCACCATGGGCGGCCACCTCAGGAATGGGCTGAATGGAGGAGGCCGGGGAGACCAGCTGTTAGGGCAAGATGGAGGGAGCAAAGGAAATACCACCTCACCTCTGCCGTTCCTGGATCAGAGGGCCTGTCTGCCCAGGCATGGTGATGAACTAGTGAGGACCTGAGTAACTCAGTGAGACCTTGTCCCTAAAAAAATATATATATAAAAAGGGACTGGGGATGTGGCTCAGTGGTTAAGTGCCCCTGGGTTCATTCAGTCCCTGGTACCAAAAAAAAAAAAAAAAAAAGGAGGGTAGCCCAATCTATCACTGGCCAGCTGTGTGACTTTATTTATTTCATTTGTGTGTGTATGGTGCTGGGATTGAACTCAGAGCCTTGTGCCTGCAAGGCAAGCCCTCTACCAACTGAGCTATATCCCCAGCCCCCAGTTTTGGGACTTTTTGTCTCCGTTTTCTCACCTGACAAATGGGGAAGTCCACCTAGCAGAGTCTGAGGTAACTGATGAGATTCAGTACCCCACTGTGTCCCTGCATGGTGTTGTTAGGTTACCACTGGGAGCAGTCATCTTTTCTAACTGGTCCTCCCACCCCCGGCCCTGTCCATCTCATTCCTTCCTCAGCCTTGGCTGCCTGGGTGTTCCTCAGCTACACAGGCTCTCTGGATGGAGAGGCAGGCCCCTGGCTTGCTCAATGTCTCATGTGCTCCCTTTTGGAGAAGCATCCTGGGGACTATCTCTGGCTGGCCCTGTGCCAGGGAAGTGATGAGAGGAGAAAGGCATGAGGTGCATTCACAGATTGAAGCAGTGGGCAGCTGATATGACCCAACAGGGCCTCACTGCAAATGTGCCCCTGGACTTCTGCAGGCTGGCCATACCCTGTCCTGAGCACCCTAGTCCCTAGTGACCCCATCACAGGCAGCCCAATTTTACTGCAGAATGGACTGCAGTAAAATTGGGCATCTGCCTACTGCCCCACCAACCTGGCCTGACCCAGCAGTGACCATCAAGTAAGTCCACTGGTAGGGAGAGAGGCTCAGGCCTGTGTAGGCCTGCAGGGACTTTGATGCACTCCCCCCCTTTCTCCCCATCTCTCTGTTGATCAGCTCCAAAGAACAGGCTTTGAGCTGGGTGCTGTGGGGCACGCCTGTAATCCCAGCTGCTAGGGAGACTGAAGCAGAGCCAGCCTCAGCAAAAGGAAGGCGCTAAGCAACTCAGTGAGACCCTGTCTCTAAATAAAATGCAAAATAGGGTTGGGGAATGTGGCTCAGTGGTTGAGTGCCTCTGAGTTCAATTCTCAGTAAGCACCCCCCCAAAAAAAAATAATTTTCCAGATTTTGCTCTGTTTCTTATTCCCCTGCTACTCTAGAAACTGACCTCTATCTGAGAGGAAGAGATCAGGCCCCAGGCTGGAAGGGGAGCAGAGGGAAGGCAAAGAGCCACACTGGAGAGAGGCTGTGTCCAGATTAGGGGTGTGAGGAGTGAGTGAGGGTCAGAAGCCTCAGGAGCAGTAGCAACTGTGGGCAGCCCTGCCGAGGAACTCTCCAAGCCAGGCACACAGGCTTCTGAGCCTCTTGAAGTGCAGAGGACCAGCCCATCTTCCCCTAGAACACTTCCAGGACAGTGGAGCAGAATCTTTACTAGTGGTTATGTCTGTGTAACAAATTGCCACAAAGGTAGCAGCTTAACAGAACACCAATTTATTTAATCATGACTTTGTAGGTCAGAGTCCAGTGGCTCAGCTGGGTTCTTTGCTTAGGGTCTCACTAGGCTGAGAGCAAGTGGTCATCAGGGCGGGGCTCACAGAACTGGCATTTGGAGGTCCCAGATTCTTGTGCCCTGCTGGATGTCGACCAGAGGCCACTGTAGGATGTTCTCAGTTCCTGGCTCCTCCATCTTCAGAGCCAGCAACGGAGACGCTTGGTGTTGAATCTCTCTTATGCTTTGCATATGTCTGTCTTCCTCCAGAAAACAAGGGGGACACAGGCCAGACAGGGGCAGCTGGTTTGCTTATATCTGCTGTCCTGCCCTCATCCCTGGCCAGAGCTGAGGGTAAAGATGAGACAGGAGGGGAAGGAGGAGAGTGAGCCCCCAGGACACACAGAAGGTCCCTGGATTGCTGGCTTGTGGAATCACATTCAGTAAGTGCCCTGGAGGAGAAGAGGCAGGGGAATGGAGAGTACATGGATGGCCCGTTAGGATCTCTGAGAGGAGAACGTGTGCAGGTCCTGGATGGACCAAGGCTGAGGCTCCAGGTCAGCAGCACCAAAACCACCCATCATTAGAGGCTGAGGTGAGCCTGAATCCAGGGGCTATACTTGGCCACGCTGGTATAGACACCAGGACGGTTGGGCAGGGCACAGCCCTTGCCCCAGCTCACCACACCCACCAAGACCCAGTGCCCAGACTGCAAGCAGCTTAGGGGTCCCCCGGAGTCACCCTGCAACAAACAGAAAGGCTACTGTAGGTCCCAGTCCTCCCAAGACTTCAGGGCAGCTGTCCCAGGTCGCTGGGGTGATACCTTGGGATTGGGGGCTGGGAAGCAGCCTGGGGGTGGGATCTGCTGGGTCCTGAGTTCTAGGGAGGTAGGGTGCTGGACACAGGGGCATGGACTCCAGAGTTTATAGGTGGGGGACACACCTGGCAGGCATCCTTATGGCCCCTGAGGTAGCCAGCACAGAGGTTTCCTGGCAGCACTATGCGCTCCGCCTCAGGGATGCTGGTGCCCACATGGTACAGGCGGTCACAGGTGCGTGAGCTCAGCAGTGGCACCCTCACTCCTTGCAGGGGGCGCCACTCTGGAAGTGGCACTGGGGAAAAGGGGAGACTTCTGAGAGCCAGGGGAGGGCAGAGTGTAGAGCAGGGCTCGTGGAAGAAGTGGAGCCCGAGATTCTGATTTTTCAGGCAGGGGACACCCTGGATCTGGCTCTGGGGAGAAGTTTCAGGTTCTTACAAGTGGCTCTGCATCCTGAATTGGGACTGTGAGGGTCTGGTATGCCCAGTTAGATAAAGAAAGGGGTTCCCTCAATAACCTCATGCCGAACCTTCCATGCCTCACCTCCTGGGCGGAGGGTGCCCCAACCGGTGACCCAGCAGGGTGAGCTGGGTGGTGGGTGACTACCAGGCATGGGCAGGCAGATGGGTTGGATGTGGGCACTCATTGGTACTGGGTGGCGTAGCTGCAGCAGCGCCAGGTCACCGCGGGTGGCATCCATAGAGTGGTCTGGAGGCAGCAGTACCCTCCACACTGGCACAGAGAGTGCCGGGGGTGACACAGGGCCCAGGCGCAGCATCCCCAGGCACACGCGGTACTCAGATGGAAGTGCCTGTCTGCATGACAGGGGAGGGGATCACTGAAGCAGACCCCACCCAGAAGACCATCCTGTGGGGAACTGGCCCTGCCTACACCTTCAGGCGCCCTCCTCCCCACCTGCATCCATCTGGGGCTCTGGGAGCTGACCTGGCCATGCAGTGTGCTGCAGTCAGCACCCACTGGGACGCGATGAGCGACCCCCCACATACGTGCGTCCCCCGGTGCTGGATGCTCGCCTGCCAGGGCCACTCTCCCTCACGGGCATCCCGGCCCCCCACGATCCGGCTGGACATGAGGGGTTGCCCACAGGCTGTGAGACAACAAGGGGACAGCCAGGGTTGGCGGAGGACTGGGGCCTGGAGATAAGTGTGCATAGGAGAGACAAGGCCTAGGGCCTGGAGGGGCAGCTCTGAGGCTTCTTACCTGCGGACGCCAACGACCCGGTAGCTCCTGGAGGAGGAAGTGGAGAGAGAGCTGGATTATGGACTTGGTGTCAGATAACTGGGGGGGTGGTCAGAGATTAGGAGGGAGGCAGGGCATATGTGTGGCACTGAGCTTGTGCCAGGCTCCTATGTGATTGGTTACCTGATGTCACCTTCCTGAACACTGGGGTGGGGGTGGGACCCAGGCCCTTTACACAGGTAACCTGTTGGGACTTGGAGAGCCCAAGGTCAGGAACTGAGGACATGCGGGGTGGGGGGGCCCGAAGCAGGCCCAGAGGTGGTGACGTGGATGACCTGGAGCCAAGTTCTTTGTGGCTATCACCCCTACTCCTTGCTCCACTCACCAAATACCAGCAGGCGCAGGATCTGGAGCTGGGAAGCCCCCCTCATCCTGTCTCCGAGGCTGGACTGGGTAAGGCAGCTCTGCCCAGTGCTGGGCTCTGGCAGGGAGCAGAGAGGAACACCCTAACCCCATGCCCCTCCCTCGGTGGCCCTTCTGTTTGTGCTATCCCTTCCACCCAGGCTTAATACCCTTCCTTCAGCCCCGGTCCTGGGTGACCACCTCCAACCCAGTATGCAGTCCCCCCAGCTTTCAGATCTGGGTCTCCTCGACCTCAACAGGAATCTTAGAGCCTCATCACCAACACCGTCCTTCCCTCCCATTACCCAGGAGCTGCACTGTCCTGCCCCGGCATGCCCTGGACACTGCTCTCACCCTCACAGCCTGGTGCCCTCTCCACTGTCTGGGACTAGGGGAGAGCCTGGGGCTTAAAGGGCAGAGGGGCGGAGGCTGGGCCAGGGCCAAGGCAGGGATGTGGTTTCACTGACCAGCCTCAAACAAAGATTCTTTGAGCAGCACTTGGGAAGTGGCAGGGAGAGGATACCATGTACGGAGACCTGGGGCTTGCGGTCAGGCTGGGAAGCTCCAGAGAATCCTTGGCAGCTCATCTCTGAACCTGATCCTGCCTCCTGGTGGGGCATGGTCACTGGGGCTTCTGAGCTCTATTGTTCTGTCCAGTAATCCCAGCTTGGCTGGGCCAGCCAGCCCCACATGGGGCCCTGACTGTAGACTCAAGAACCCAGACCTCAGGCCTGGCCGGCTGACTCCATATGGAGAACCCAGCCAGGCCAACACCCCCTGGATCCTAGCTCAGAGTGGGAATGCATAGCTGAACAGAGCCAATGCAGGTGTGACCTTAGGAAACAGTCCACCCTCTGGCTTGGGGTGGCCAGAACATAGCAAGACTGTTGGTCTAGGGTGAGGCCAGGAGATAGGGAAGGGGTCCAGTGGAGGGCTGGGTCCAGGCCAATGCCCAGACCTGTGAGTCACCCCTTGGGTTCACCCACAGGCTGTGCAGCCCCTCTCCCTTTCTGTCGGCACTTCTGGCCCCTCAGCCTTTGCTCCTCTATCTCTTGCTCAGGGGCCTCACTGCTGAGGCCATATCTCCCTCACACCATGTCAAGATTCTGATTTGACATGGGTGTGGAGGTTTCATCTGTATTGTTCATCTCCTCTCCATGAAGCCGGGTCTGGGTTTATGGCCCTGAACTAGTCAGCCCAAGCTGCTGTGACAGTTATCCTAGGTGTGGCAGCTTAAACAGAAATGTACTTCTCAAGGTTCTGGGGGGGGGGGTTGGGGTAGGGGGGATGTGGGGGTGGGGTACAAGGTCAAAGCCAACCAGGTCTGGTTCATTCTGAGGCTGCCTCCCCTTGGCCTGCTAGGAGGCCTCCATCTTGCTGGGTACTGACACGGCCTCTGGGTGCAGAGGGGAAGAGAGTGATTGTCTTCTCTTCTAGGACACTGATCTTATTTTATCAGAGCTCCATTCTTATGACCTCACTTAATCTCAATTGCTTCCATAAAGGCAAAAACAGTCACGCTGGGGATTATGGTCTGAGTATGGTTGCCCCCCCACCAACCTCAAGTCTTGAAGCATTTTAATCTCCAAAGGTTCATGTTAATGGCATTAAGAGGAGGGGAACTGGATACTGCTATGGTTTTTGTGGTGAAGCCTTTGGGAAGTGATGAGATTAGAATAGGCTGTTCAAATAGAGCCCCCAGGATGGGATCCTGTGGCTTTGTAAGAAGAGGGAGGGAGACCATAGAGGCGAATGAGTTCCCGCCCGCCCCACAGCTCAGGGCTCTGCCAGCAAGAAGGTCATCACCAGAACTGAGCCATGCCAGCGCTATGCCCTGGAGCCTGTGAGTTTTGAGCTAAATAAACCTTTTTTCACTATAAAGTTAGTTTGCCTCAGGTACTTTTATAGTAGTGAAAAGCTGACTGATATAGAGCTTCCACATAGGAATTTTGGAGGCTCAAACATTTAGTCAACAGTCTCCAGTGGGCAGATCAGCGCTCCATTCCGAGCAGGCACTGTGGATGTGGGAGCGGGTCAACAGGGCTGAGTGTGGCAGCAGGCTGGGCATGAGGGGACCCCCTGGGGACCTACCCAGCTTCTGGGTGTGGAGGTGGGGCAGGAAGTTTTAAGGCTAGTCTTGCCCATAGCCTGAACCCACACTCAAGACCACTCTGGGCTGGGAGAGCATTTGCCTGGCGTATATGAGACCTGGGTTTCATTCCCCAGAACTAAAACACCCATGCTCTGTGGGGCCGTGGCTCTCTCCTCCAGTGTGATTGGATGAACGGGCAGAGCCTGGATCAGTGCTTGGTACAAGGCAAACACAATGCCACAGGAATAAAAGCAGTAAGCTCCCATCCTCTTCAGGCCTCCCCAGGACTGGCCACCTGTGGACAGCCTGGTGGAGATAGGGCCAGTTGTTCAGGGACAGAAGCAGCTGGAAAGCTGGAGGGCTGAATGGGAGTGGGGCCAGCTTGGTAGGGGGGTAGGCTGTAGGGCTGGGCACCGTTCAGCAGGTTGCTAGGAACGGTGATTGGGGTGAAAGGCAGGGACGGAGGATGGAGGGGACCCAGAGAGCCCGGCCGGTATGGGTTCTTCCTGAGAAACTGGCTCTTTTTAGGGGAGGAGTCTGCAGCAGGTTGATTAATGTGCATCTGAACTTTAGGAAGGAGGAAAGAGCCTCTAAACCCACCCCCTGTCTCAGTCCCATATTGAAAAACTGAGGCAGAGTCTCAGGCTAAGTCCACTTCCCGTTCAGCTTCTTTTTTATTGTGGAAAAACCCTACACACTCCTGGCCTGTACTTCCTGAGCTCACCACCCCAGTAAACTACCATTACGGGACTTTGGTAACACCAGGAGCATCTGAGACTCATGTAGTGGGGCACACCAAGACTGGGGGTGGGGGGCGCTGTCCACGAGGAACATTTATTCCCTGTCACCCTTCCCCAGACTTCCAAGTTCCCAGATACCCTGGGGCTATGACCCTCTTCCCACAAATCAGCTTTCTGGGTGAACTGACTGGAAAGGGTTCAGCTGTCTGTGACCAACAGCTGGACAAGATTAGGAGTTAAGGACAGGTCCTGAGCTGCACAGGTCATGGGTAATACAATGGTCCAGGAAGCACTGGGTGCCCATCATGTTCTGGATTGTCAACTTGAGTATGCATAAGTGTTTATTAGCAAACAAGACAGCAGGGGAAAGGGGCTGGTCTGGGAAGCTGTCACCACACAATACTGGGTGTCCACGGGATGGGGAAGGTGCAGAGCTATGGTTTCCACAGTACCTTCATGAGATCAGGTATGCTCAGGCTGGCCCCAGGAGCCTGGGAGCCCAGGTCAGAGTAAGGAACAGCAGCACAGGGGACGGGTCAGGCCTGGGCATGTCATTACGGGATACCAGCATCCGGATCCAGTCAAAGTGTAGACTGACGTTGGTGTAGACTCCAGGCCGGTTGGGTCGACCACAGCCCACTCCCCAGCTCACAATTCCAATCTGATACCACAGCCCTTCCAGTTCGCAGACTAAGGGTCCTCCTGAGTCACCCTAGGGAGAAGCCTGGGTGAGCCCAACCAGGGCAGGTGAGTGGAGCCTGTAGAGAGGCTGGGGGAGCAGGGTGGCTGTGCAGCTGGCAAGAGAGGTGTGAATCCTATTCCCTGCTCCCCAGCAGAGACAGAGCCTCAGTGTCTGCATCTATGAAGTGAAGCCCCCACCAGGGGCTGACTGGGTGTGGGAGGAGGCACCACCAGTGGAGAATGAGCAGTATGTTTTGTAGGCTGGTGAATAAGGACTGCCGTTGCTTTACTCCAGGTGTGGGCTGGTGGGGGCTCGGAGCCTGCTCTCAGGCCTGGGGCAGGGTGGGTATGATTTCCTCATGGGGTGGGCACTCACGTGGCAGGTATCCCTGCTGCCATTCTCAGCACCAGCACAAAGCATGTCGAAACTGATGGAGCTGCGCTGAAAGGGCAACGCGAACAGCTCCATGCACCTGCTGTTGTTGAGGATGGTGACCTGCACTTCCCGGAGGCGGTAGGGGGGTGGCAGAGGTACTGGGGTAGGACAGAGACAGAAAGCAAACTCAGCCTCTCCT